GGATCAGGAAAAATTAATTGAACATCATCTTTTGAAGTATCCTATAAAGAAACAATCAGTTTTTTTTTTCAATCAAATAAATATAAAACTATTTTCAACCTGTGGTGGTTCGTATATAGCAGTAACAACAGCTCGAACACCAAGTGGAACACCATCATAAACTTCATATCGACCATAAAGAAAACCAATACGTTGATGATCTGATGAACGCCAATAATTTAAAAATCGATTTACTATATTTCCATTTTCAAACATTATGTTATCTACATGACGAAATGTCTACAAAGAAAATTTAATATGAAATCAACTACTTTTAACTAAACGAATAACTCTCAGTTATGAAAAACTAAACCGTCTATGGCATATATCGCATTTATTACCTGACGCATTAGAGTCACTGGATTCGGTTGACATTTAGTACAAACTCCTGTATGTATATATTCTATTAAAACTTGTATTTCTATTAATTAATTATTTACCTTTTGGCCATGGAGCATGACCTGCAGAACAGGTGTCTTTAATAGAACAATTAATATTTTCCAAACTTGAAAATGTAGTTCTATTTAAAAATAAAACACAGAGTTAAATAATATTAAATTTATAATAAGTTTTTACCTATCACCAGTTGTTGTATTTTGTAGTTTTCTAATATATGCTTGAAATGACATATGTTTTATTGGTGGATTATGATTTTTTAAATAATCTTCATCATATGGTTCAATTGGTATACAATGTAAACATTTTCCATGTTTATTATGATGACATCTAAGTAAAAGAATAGTTTAAAATATTTTCGATTGAATATATTTTTCATACAATTGTGGATCTTTTTCACGAGTAATTCTTCCATGAATTTTATCTAATTGTATATCAACATCATCTTCTTTTGTATCGATTAATTTCGAAATAAAATTGTATTGTAAATTTGAATTATTTGTTGTTCTATCAGACTTAATCATTAATGGAGAATTCTTTTCTTGTTCAACAGTAAGATAAATCATATCACCATGTCTATAAAAAAATTAATCAGTTAATATTTTTCTAGTTTCTATTTCAAACCGAAGATCTAATTTTGTTTGTGATCGATCTAAAGGTGATTTTTTATTCGGTTCTTTATATAGAATAAAATTATCCGATAATGAAAATGCATGAACAACCTAAAAACAACGAAAAATATTCGTTTTTAATAAATTGTTTATATTACTTTTTCATGTAATGTTTTATATGTATCTTGAGAAGTAATGTCAATTCTTTTTGTACCTTCCGGTGATTGAACTCGTATAGTCTAAAGTGATTTTTATTAAAATAATAAAACTAAAAAAAATATTATTTATATATTTACTTTTGACATCAAATATTTTTCTATCCTATATTGGAAAAAACACAATCTAAAATAGAAAATGTCGTCTTAGTTAATATTATGTTGCTTAGATAAACTATCAGCTGAGATTTGATAAAGGTCATATACTGAAATTTTATTGGTGAATTGAAATATAACTAATAGAAAAAGCCAACGAAATTATTTCTAATTTTGTGTATTGAATATGACAGACACAATTAACATTAATTTGGTAAAATAAGTTAGAAAAATCTTTGTATATCGATATAAAAATTGAATAGAAATATAATTAAATTCTGAAATATCATTATCAAGTGCTATTATAGGTTCAATTTATTAATTGTTAAATGTAGCAAATCTAACTAAGGTCGGAAATAGAAAAATTACTATATTGAAAAGATCAATTTCAATATTTTCTTTCTTTCTTCCAATGAAATGTATTCATTCGTTAAAAAGGTAGAGAAACAACAGAGGTAATATGTGAGGTCGCAACATGATTATAATTTTATTATTTAAAATAGCAAATTTTAAATACAAGAAGAAGAATATTCTTCTTTATTATTATAGACAAAAATAGGTTTATCTCCTTCAGTGCTATAAACTACTTGATTATATCCTCTTCCTCAGGCATTCTCTTCTCGTTTCCTTTATATATTTTCTATAAGCAAACTCTTGAAACAGAAATGAAAAGTAAAACATTATTCTCTCGCCATAAAATATGTTTTCCAATAAATTCTATTATGATTTTCCAAATGAAAGATATCCTTTTCTTATTGGAATTATGTAATTATTCAAACGATATTCTTTATATATCGCTGATGGTGTTTATAGGTATAAGCCATCAGCCGATTTTTGCTGAAGTCGACGGCTGACAGCTTCCGTTTTTGCTAGAGCCGACGCAGGTCCAAGCCGATGGCTTACAGCTCTCATGGTATTTAACTCCTTTCTGCCAGACTATATGTAAAGTGCCGTGACGCCTACGACAAAATATTGCCATATAACAATGTCTGAACGGAAAAAGTTAATAAATAGAATATTTTGTTACATTCAGTATTTATCATAACTTCCTAATATTATTTTTTTTATATTACCTGTTTTGTCTATATAACGTTATTTGAAAATGATAAATATTAATTCACGATAAATAAACGTGACTATATAGCAAAACAACTTGTACAATATTTATTCTATTTCCCTGAAAAAAAATCTCTCTATATATATTACTTCTCAATTCAAATACAGCCGATAAATTATCAGTAATTCAAATTGGAAGAGACAACCGTTTTTCCAAGATAATGTACAATTCATTTATGAATAATATTATAAAAATCGGACTCATTTTCAACTTTTTCATTAATGGTAAAAATAATTTTTACAGTATAATTTATTTGTCAATTTATTTTATAAAATATTTTAGAAGCTGTGAATGCTCGTGTGACAACAAAATACACAAATGGTTTATATTCATATAGTTCAACATTTGTTCGACCTAATGGTTATACAAAAAATTACTATTTTCATGCGATCAAAGTAAAAGTTTTTACAACTGGCTTATATAGTTTTACAAGCAACAGTACTTTCGATACTTATGGATCTATTCATCATTATCCTGTTGAACTAACTAATCTTTCTAAAAGTATGATTGCATATAATGATGATAGTGGTGGTGGTGGTCTACAATTTCAAATTAATCTTACTTTACAATCCGACAAGGCTTATGTTTTACTTGTTACCACTTATTCTTCGAATGTTACAGGATTGTTTACAATCATAGTTGAAGGTCCAACTAATGTTGAACTCATTCAGAATGATTATTTCGTTTTAGAATCAACGACAACAAGTAAGTTAATTGATTCCCCCAAAAAAAACGTAATCATTACAAATTTAAATCAATATCTTTATTTTAGCCACAATTTCACCTATGATAACATCTACCTATTTGGGCATTTTATCATCTTACAGTTTGAAATTCTCTCGACCATCATATAGTCCATATAATTATTATTATCAAGCTAGTAAAATAACAACTACTATGAGTGGTACATATAGTTTCGTGAGTAATAGTTCAATCGATACGTATGGTTACTTTTATGATGGTTCATTTAATCCATCTAATCCTAATTTGAATTTAATTGCATCTAATGACGATGGTGGTGATAATAATCAATTTCGTATTAATGTTACTTTACAATTTCAATGCAAATATATTTTGGTTGTTACTACATATAATTCCAATATTACAGGAAGTTTCTCAATCGAAGCAGTTGGTCCATCACGAGTTTATTTTTATTCAATTACATCAACAACAGGTAGATTAATAAAAGAATATATCAACACAAAGTTATTTCTTTTTTGTTTTAACATAGATCAATATCAATTATGTAATAGTTATACACCACTATATCCAAATAAATCATCTGTGAAGAAAATCATTGTTATTGTTATTCCAATTTTGATTGTATTAATTATAATTATTATTGGTTGTTGTATATCTCGATGTAATCGTAAAAGAATGTCTAGACATCATCAAAATGCTCAAACAGGGATATTATCTATAACAAATACTCAAAGAATTGAAATTGCTGTACCTTACACAATTTCATTGACGAGAACGTCTGATCGTTTTGAAGAACAACCACCATCCTATGAATCAGTTATATCATCGATGAGAATACAACGCTAAACAAAGTTAAATCGATTTTATCTAAAATTTCATGATTTTCAACAAATATGTTGATGTTGTCTACTATTTTGAAAAATAAATTTTTGCTTTTAAAAACTCATTATTTTTATATAGCTTGTACATCTACAAAATCTTACCGTGTCTATTTTTATCTATCAGAGTATATGTGACGTGCTCACTATACCATCGAAACTTCAATCCAGACCACAAAAAGTATCAGGAAGATCACTCAACGATTCATTCGTTTTTATTCATATATAAGAAGTGTTTTGAGATCAATAGCTACTTTATTTCAGAAATACTTTGAGGATATGGGTAATGAATGAAAAGAATACACACACCCTTCGATAAGCAGTTCGAATACGAAGATAATTATTGAAAATTCAGTGTAAACAACACATAGAATAGGCTTGTTGCTTGAAAGATTAACTGGAAACCTCATATAAAGCAAATTATTAAAATCAGTAATGCACAGTTCAATTCCATCTTTATCTCCTCTTTCTAACAGTGAAAACCACATTTCTTTATCTTGTTTCTATGTAAAGTTATTCAAGTTCATGTTACAAGCACATGTGCGACAAAAATAGATCTTATGAAAATGTTATTATTATGATATTAGTTGAATAGTGATTAAACAGCATGGAAAAATAGAGCGACAGATGCGCTATGTGCTCGTAAAAAAAGAAAATTTGTGCAAGCTTTCTATACGAAAACAAGGTATCTGACTCACTACTTTTGATATGTCATAAGTAAAATAATCATAATATTTAGTACAACTTATATTTTCATTTATTCTGAATAGAATTAATGTCTACATGTTTTCTTTCATGCATAAATTAATTTTGATATAAGAAAAAAAAAAATGTCTCGTTGGATAATTCCCAAGAGAATTTGCAGCAACAAAGCCGAATAATATATACTGTCGTCAATACAAAAATTCTTCATCTCTTTTCATTTTGTTGAGCTAAGAAGAGAAGAATGTTATTTGAATCTATTATTTATGCTATTATATTTTCTTTATGTTTTGCTGATTTCGATGGTATATAAAATATATTATTTTATTTTTCATGAAAAACATATTTTCGTATATTTAGAAACACTTATCTATTGTAAAACTGCACCACCTAAATTAATTAATGGATTAATAAAACGTGATCGAGTATCATATTATAAAGGGCAAGGTTATTTAGGTAGTATGGAATATATGTGTTTACCAGGTTTTAATCTTAATGGAAATAAAATTGTTACATGTCATAATGGAGTATGGTCAACAATGACTCAATGCATTCGTAAAGTTTTTTATTATCTATATGTTGAATATTATATAGATTTTTTTTTGAAGCTAAAAGACGATGTTCACCGATTAAATCTTATCCATTAAATACTGTCGTTGGATTAACTAATATTAGTTTTTTTCAAAATGATCCTCAACAAATTGTTGTTGGTTCAACTGTTACATTACGTTGTATAGATAATTATGAATTTGATCCAACATCAAATGGATCTCTTATTATTCAATGTCAAAATGATGGTACTTGGACAACAATGCCTAGATGTCGAGGTATATAATTATATTAATTTATTCGTATTATTGTAATAATGAATTTTATTCTAATATAGATGCACAAGCAATGTGTGATTATACGAAATTATATTTACCATCTCGTTCACGTATTACTCGGATGAATTTTAAATTTTCGGAAAATAATCGACAATTTCATATGGTAAGATCTTGAATAGATACATATGTCATTAATGTTCTATTTTAAGTATGACTTGTTCATCTTATGTTTCATTTGATTATAAATATTAATGCTAATTTTATCTTATCTCGTATTATTCAATAGCTTTGCGTCGATCGTATATAATCTATCTATTACTATACATAATTAATCATATGTATGTTAATTCCCTTTAGTACATATACAGAGATAAAAAAAAGTTAATGTTAAAATATTCCAAATTAGATAAACACAAATAATACTTCGATTTATATAGAAGACAAAACTTTAACTTTTCTTTCAGGTTGGCAGTAATCTTGAATATACGTGTGAAGAAGGATATCGATTAAATGATGGTACAACATCTCTTATAGTCGAATGTTTAAGTTCTGGTTTATGGTCTTCATTACCAGTTTGTG